CGTCTTGCGCTGCCGCGAACACATGCGGCGCGGCAAGCCTTGAAGGTTCAGGGGGCCCTGAGCTGGGAGATACGCGGCTGTCAATGCTGGGCCGGGCGCCGCACGCTGCGATGACCGCTTGTGGCCCAGTTGCGCTGTCGATGTCCTGCGCGCATGTTGCCGGGCTCCCCGAGCCATGGGCAAGCTGAACAGTCAGATTCTCATGCCACCTGCTTTGCTGCTGCTCAGCCGCGCTCCATGCTTCCGGCCCAGTACATGACGAGTGCGGCACAACCACAGCGGCGAGCGCGGGCGTGTTTGCGCTGATGTCGAGTTCGTCATTTATGAGGCCACTGGGCAATGCTAGGAGCCCCGGAGCTTCATATACACAAGCTCCGAGAGTGGAGTTGCCCCGCCACACGCCACTAGCCGCGTCCATAAACATTGAGCAACATGGAGATCACTGCCGTGCTTAACGCCGCTGCTTTGCTTCGTGATTCATACGGGAATTCATGCACGCTACAGGCACCTGGAACTGGGTCGATTTGATTTTATTGCAACACCTTTGAAACACTGTCACTCGCTAGGGCCACTTGTCGATTGCAGCATGAACGATCCCCATCAGTAAATGGTTGAACACAAAGCAAAGGCGTAGCCGCAATGGGCGTGCCGTGCGACGGCAAAGGGCGAAGCCCAGACGGCAGCACCGTCGGCAACGGCGCCCAGGGACCGCTGGCCGCTTTGCCAACCAGCGTGGCCGCGGCAATATACGAGCAACTGGCGCCGCGCGACCTGGCTGCTTGCGCACAGACATGCAGAGGTGAGCGCTGGGCCGGCGCGCCTGCGGGCGTGCGGTGCAGACATCCACGCCTTGCTGCCTGGAAATCACACACCCTGCCTGCAGCATGTGGCCCCTCGTAATGCCGCATTCGAATGCCCGTCCACCCGTGCGATCCCCTCACCCGACCCTGCAACCGCAGCGTGGCGCGAGCTGCCGCTGGCCGTGCTGCGCCGCCTGGCGCTAGCGCCCCGCAGCACCTTCCCGCTCGGCCGCCTGCAAAGCTGCACTGCGCTGGTCGAGATTTCGTCCCAGACGAACCGCGGCCCCGTGTGGGCGGCGGCGGTGCGGGAGCTGCAAGCTAGGCGGCTGCCGGCTCTGCGGCGGGTGACCATGAATTACTGGTGTGGAGGCCAGCCCTGCGAGCTCGATGATCTGGCCGCAGCCATGCGGGTGGGTGCCCCGGAGAGCCCCAGTGGGGTGGCTGTCCATTGGGGTTGAGAGGGGGGGAGGAGATGCAGTCGCCATGCTCCGGGCAGGTGTGCGCAGCCCCCCTCGACGGCTGTGAGTGAACCGCGGGAAAACATCGGCCGCTGCTCCTGTGTGTTGGTGGCGTGTGTGTGCGATTGCACTGCAAAGTCACGCCCGCCGCAGCCTCCTCTCAAACGTAATGCGTGTTCGTATCCCCGCCCTCTCACGCATGCCCCTCCCCCAAACAGACCCAGGGTACGGGCTGCCGCCTGTCCCTGGCAATGACTGACAAGGGGGCGCTGTCAGAGCTGTCCTCCCGCCTGCCCTTCCCCGGGCTGGCCCATCTGGAGGCCAACCTGCCCTACTTCCATCAGGGAGCGGTGGATCAGATAGTGGGGATTGTGCAGGGCCAGGGCCAGCAGGAGCGCAGCGACGCAGGGACGAGCAGCGGGGAGGGCCTCGCGGCGCCGCCGCTGACGGTGTCCGTGTGGGTGTGCTGCTGGGGCGGCTGCGAGGGCCTGCCGCTGCCCGCGGCGGAGGAGCTGCGGCGCCGGCTGGGGGCGCGGCTGGTGGGGCTCGAGAGCATCAACCTTGCCGGCCCCGCTGACCTGGCAAGGCTGGCGGGCCTGGTGCCAGGGCTGACGTCACTGGGGTTCAACATGGAGACCTGCGCCTCACGCGCATTCGTGGCACGGCTGCTGCCTCGCGGCGCGGCGGCCGAGGCGGCAGGGGTGGCGGCGCCTGCGCCGATGAACTTCGCGCGGCTGGCAGGTGCGGCGCGCGGCCTGCTGCGGCTGACGCTGCACGGGTCCTCCCCGACAGGATGGGACTGCGGGCCGCGCGGCGCCGCTGGCGATGCCGACGGCAGCACCGGCGGCAGCGAGGACGGCTGGCCATCGCTGGTGCCGCTGCGTGGCCTCACCAAGCTGTCCCTCGCCCGCGACTGGGGACCCGCGCCGCTGCCGCTCGCGCCGCTGGCGCACCCGGCCGGCGATGCGCTGGGCGCCTCGCTGGTGGAGCTCACCGTTGAGCGGCGGCTGCTGGCGGCCGCGGGGGAGCTGGAGGTCATAGGCGGCCTGACCGCGCTGACGTTACTAACGCTGGCGCTGCAAGTGGAGCCGCAGCAGCTTGGTGTAAGTGTCCGAGAAGACGAGGACCGGGGCGCCGCGGCCGCCCGCCCACCGGCGCTGACGCGGCGCGCATTCATGGCCGGCGGCATGCTGCGCTCTCACGGCGCTGGCCGTAGCGACGGCGGGGCAGGCTACGCGGAGG